CTAGGTAAAAATTGGAGGTTTCATCTAGAAGGAGAACAGACACTAGAAGACAATAATCTCTGCTAATTTCTATTAATAATATATGTAAATAAATTTCTTTTGAAATGTAATTTTAATCTCCTTGAGCTCTAAGTCAAATTTTTGGAATTTCTTAGAGTTTGCAAGTCCAATATTCACAGAATAGCTAGTTAAATGAAGATCAAGTAATTAGCTTTATTAACAGCTGGGCAAGCACTAAATAACTCCCCAGGCACATGACTCTCTGTTAAGAGCTGCACTGGAGATAATTCAGCTTGAACCTGTGCCTCCCACTCTTGCACCGTATCTCAACCTTGGGACCCACTTCTGCCTGCACAGAAGACTTAAAGTTCACTTGCAATGAGTAGCATGGACTTCAAGTATTTCTCAAGTGTCTGGTTGCCAGTGGAATATGGAGAGAAGAGGGTGGGCTTCCTTTCCAAGAATTGAGGCCCTGCATGGTCTCTTGACATTGTAGAGAAAAGAAGCCTGAGATGTACGTGGACAGGTCAGAGAATAAAAGGAGAGCCTGCTGTCCCCTTTTGCCCAATAAACGTAGAACTCTGGCTTCAGTTTCTTTCCCCCTCCATGTTGGGGAAAGTCAGTAAAGGAATGGAGAGTGAGAGACGAAATATTTGTTCTGGAGCTTCCAAAGAGGGTGGGGTTGGGGGAGTAGGAATCTCCTCTTCTGTGGGCCGAAGTGAGAATGTAGTGAGGGAAGAAAAAGGGTTTTTCCTAACCAAAATAATTATTAGAAAAGTGGAATCTAAAACAGTTTTTTTTTTTAAAAAGAGGATGATGAGTGTCCTCAGTTGTATAATTAATTGACTCAAATATGCTTTATTTGAGTAATAGAAATATGGCCTTATTTAAGCACATATGATATTTTTATGAAGTCTCAGCACAAATAAAATAAGCAATGAAGAAAAGCAAAATGACAGATGTTTTCAAATATGCAATAGGATGCCTTAGGGAAATGAAGGAGAATGCCACCTAAGGACAGTGGTAGAGAAGGCTGGAAGGGCAGGTGACTGGAGAAGGGCTAAGAGGTTAGGGTAGGGCTGAGGTTTGGGAGCCACAGCAGTGTTGTCTTCTACAGAGACTTGTCATAGGGGAGTGTTCCTCAGGCTTCTGGCACACTCAGAGGTAATGGAAGAGCAGTTCACAAAAAGACTATTTTAAGTAAGGGCACAGTTAGAAAAAACAAGGGATGATGAAGTGCTCAGGAGCCAACAACAGTGGGGAGACCCTACAGGAGCAATGGTACAGAGTAGTCATTGGAATCTGGCAAAAGCTTTAGCTGTCGGTGAGGGGTTAGGTGGAGAATCACTGAGTCAGCGGAAGAAGAAGCTGGGGGATAAATACTCTAACTTCTTTCTGTCTCCCCTCGCCCTCCCAAGTTCTGCTGGTGCCTCCAGGACAAACTCAACTAGACGCCAGAGGTAAGGAATCCCAGTCAGTATGGTCATAGAGAGCAGCCTCCTAGGATCTTTGGCGGGATAGCGAAGGATCAGGAAGGTCAAATGGAGAATAGCCTGCACAATATTTTGGTGGAATGCAAGGGAGGAAGTGTTGGGGAAGAAGCTGTATTAAATTTCCTGCAGCAGTTTAATAAATTAATTGCCCTCAAACATTCATTGAGCAATTGCTCTGCCTGGTGTTGGGGATACCAAATAAACAGAGACCCTGTTTGGTCTTGAGAGGATCATAAGCCAGCAGAGTCGTGATTCTAACGTTAGATGGTGGAGACTTTGGAAGACAGGAATAGCAAAAGACAGCTCTGCCTGATGGAGTCAGTGAAACTCTCCCCAGAAGGAGATGACTTTTGAGCTGGATATTGAGTTTGTATAGAGGATCATTAGGTAGAGGAGAGTATTAAATCTCCCTGGTATGGGGAAGGGTGCAGATGCTGTGAGAATATGGGGAGAAGGTACAGGTCAGGGGAGGAAGATGAGACAGAATCTGATGATCTTTGCGAACCAGACCAAAGAGTTTGGATTTTATCATTTACATTGGCAATGGGAGTTAACAGAGGCTTATAAAAGACATTGCTTTTTTTAAAGGATGGGGGAACTGATAATGGGTGCTTTTCCTAGCAACTTCTTTTCTTGGTATGCTTTCCTTCTTTTTCCTCTCATTTATTTTTCTTCACTTCTCTTCACCATTCACCGTATTTTTTTCCATTGTTGTGTTTCTGGTAGATGAAACCTCCAAGGTTAAGGGGGTAGTTACAGTGGATTTGATGTAGGGAAAAGAAAAGGAAACATTCCAGGTCTTTAAAAAATTTCTACCTCAGTTGCCAGTAGGGGTTTAATTTGCGGATGGTAGAAATACTGAGGATGCTGGCACAGAAATTAAAATGCTTAATAAACCAATGCTTAGTGGTGTGCCACAACAAAATAAAAATGAGATGTGACACATGAAAACTTGTCTTGAAATACTATTCATATACCCTGATGTGTATTATTGTAGACTGAAAAAATAAAAATACAAGCACATACTCTCACATTACTTTCCCACACATTGATCTGCAAAGAGAAAACTCTTCAAGACTTTGGGGAGGAAGTCCATTACTGAATCTAACAACCATCTTCTATCTGCGCTCTTATTTTATATACCCTTTACACCTGTTTAATTAATCCTAAACATGAGGCTGACTGCTAATTAAACAGCCTGGAAGTGACTGACTGAAGGTAGTAATTTGAGATAATTAGTTTTGGTTTCAAACACTCAATTTTCACACTTTCTGCTCGTTTTTAGAAAGGGTGGCTCATTATTATAGGCAGGGTGGGAGTTGCGTAAGTCATTTTACTGCTGGACTCTTAGTAGCTCAGGAAGTGAGAGTATCGGTATCCAAATAGGACAAAGAAATGGTATAGTGCTATAGAATTTGCTATAGAATGCTCCCCTATTCCCTTCCCCCCACACAACCCATACTTGCACACACACAGAATTTATTCTAAAGTGAAAGTCAGATGGCTAACTTACTTTCATTAGAATATAGGAATGCACATGCTTTTGATATTTGGGAAATTTTTACCTAGTAAGACTTAGATCTCACTAAGTTATCTACGGTTTCCTTCCCAGATCCTCTGAAAACAAAAAAGAGAAGGTGAAAAAGGGCAAGATTTGGTGTGTGGTTTGAGATTTGGAGGGGTGTCCTTGAGAGTAGTTATGTACTATGGAGGCACAAAATCTAACCAGGAGAGGCTGGGTACGGTGGCTCATGCCTGTAATCCCAGCACTTTGGGAGGCCGAGGCGGGTGGATCACGAGATCGGAGATCGAGACCATCCTGGCTAACATAGTGAAACTCCGTCTCTACTAAAAATACAAAAAATTAGCTGGGTGTGGTGGCGGGCGCCTGCAGTCCCAGCTACTTGGAAGGCTGAGGCAGGAGAATGGCGTGAACCTGGGAGGCGGAGCTTGCGGTGAGCCGAGATTGCGCCACTGCACTCCAGTCTGGGTGACAGAGCGAGGCTCCTTCTCAAAAAAAAAAAAAAAAAAAAAAAAAACAAAAAAAAACTCTAACCAGGGGAAAAATTTGTCAAGATAAGGCCAGTATATCTGGCAGAGAAGGCAAAGGGCAGGATGAGATGGGTCAGATGTTTTTCACGGTCCCACAGTGTTAACAAGTAAGTTAACACGGTCCCCACTAGGAGAACAGAACCAGAAAGAATTTGGGGTTAAATGGGCCACGCTATTCTGGGTACTCACTTGTATGGCTAATGTAGGTGGATCCAAGTTACACGGAAGCCGAATGAATAGTCAGCACCCTGGACAGCTCCAAGCACATTGCTCTGCTGCTGCTCCCAGGGTGACTTTTATATTTTAGGGACTTCACTGTCATTTCACTGGCCACCAGTATGGAATAGGACTCTCTAGACTTAGGAAGGTTATTTAGATGTTGAGAGCTTTACAAATATATCAAGGGTGGAGTTGAAACGTCTATATAGATTGGGAATCATTTGTCTAGACTGTGGTGGGGACTATTGGATCCCAGAGTGTGCAGCCCTGTGGGGAAAGATGGAACTGCAACCTCTGACATCCTCTGAGCACTGATGTTAGCTGCAGCAAGTGATGTAGCACACTGTTAATTTTTTTATGTACAAGTCAAACCTGCATCTTCAACCAAGCTACCTGAATTAGGGTGTCTTGGAGTCATTTTGACCTCTGAACTTTCACTCATACCACGGCATGGCGGCAGAGGGGTTACTAGACACAACCACATAGCCCACTCTCCTACATTATTGAGAAATGACATAAGATTCTTCTTTTTGAAAAATCTCTGGCAATTCACCCCGTTAAAAGAAAAATAGTCTCTTCTTCTAAAGAATTTATGGTCTGAATTCCCTTTTCTGTGATGTTTTGGATGGGGTTAGAAAGATTTTTCTATAAGAGGATATGTGGTTGCTGGCAATTCTCAAATCTTTTTGTGGCACTCTGATTATATCAATAAACAGTCAATAGAATTGTAAAACTATATGTTTAAAATAATTTACTAAAAATGTAGTCTTAAGACTGAAATGGCATCAAGAGTAAAAAAATCTCATATTAAATTCCCTGTTAGTTATTGTATAGCATTCATGTCCTATAAAGCCAAAGCCAGTTTCAGAGGTGACCTTTTCTGATGCATATACCTTCGTTTTTCTCTCGTTTCTGCACCAGAGCTTATCATGTACAGACTAAAAAAGCAACATCAACAAAAAGCACAAATGTTTTGCTTTGGCTCCAGAAACAATGGAAACTAAAGCAAACTGAAATTCTTTCTCACTGTTTAGAAATATTTTGCATTGAGAGAAAGTAAGCCTATGGATCATTCAAAAATACTTTCTAATTAAATTGGTAGTCATAAAACTGTATTTTGGCTTCAGGCTGATATGTCTAGGTTTCTGGTATAGCCTTGGCTGTTTAGCTCGTATGACAATCCATCATTCTTCAGGATTCTTCTTGGGTTGAAATGACCCATCATTTGTTTTGCAGATACCTCAAATCAGCTATGCATCCACAGCCCCAGAGCTAAGTGATAACACCAGGTATGACTTTTTCTCTCGAGTGGTCCCGCCTGACTCCTACCAAGCCCAAGCCATGGTGGACATCGTGACAGCACTGGGATGGAATTATGTGTCGACACTGGCTTCTGAGGGGAACTATGGTGAGAGCGGTGTGGAGGCCTTCACTCAGATCTCGAGGGAGATTGGTAAGCATATATTTATCAGATGATTGTATTTGGAGGTGACAGGTTGCTGATGCTTGAGCATCTCCAAGTGCTCTCTTATCTGTAGGGAATAATTAGAACTCCTACAAATGCATGAACTAGGCTGTCCACTCTAGAGGGAAGCTGGGTTTATTATAAATGATTTTGTTGTTCATAGGCCTATCAAGGTGACATTTTGGTGCTAATTTAGGAAGTAGGGCTCCTGACTCAAGTGAACATTTTTTAAAGTTGTCTGTTTTGACAAGGGAGTTTGCTGGCACATTAGAGGCACTGTAAATTTGAATAAATGACATAGTATTTGATTGTTCTAGATGGAAGTTTACATTAGCAAGTCATTAAATTAAAAAAAAAAGTCAGTGGAATTTAACGTCCAACACTAGAGGGATTAAGTCTAGTAATCATCTTAAAACAATGCTGAAGTAGCCCCCAAGGCTATACTTAAGCAATATTCTTATTGTCATGTTTGACTTTTTGCATTTTTATTCTTAACGAAAACTCTGAAGCTTAGGGTGTGGTGAAGGGCAAGATGTAAAAACTTGTTTACAACAAGGTACTGCTGACCTCCATCCTGGGCTTTTTTTCAAAGTGCTTATTCAAGTGTCTAGGCATTTCACCATCTTGTATATGTACCAATGAGGTTATAAATCCATTCTACTACTTTGAAAACACAGAGCAAAACAGAGGAACAACTTAGAGCACAGATCTTAACTGCTGATTTGTCAACAACGTATCTTTGTGAATGAAATATGTTATTGTTACTTAAGTACTATTATTCTTATTAAGAATGAATGAATTTTTCTATAAGAGTAATAATATTTTGTGGAAAGATTAAAGTGTCCATTGATTGTTTTTCAGTAATTTTGAGCCTGTAGAAAGACATGTTGATAAATTTATTGTTTTTCTTAGAGGCCTCGACTCAGAAAAAGATCATGGGAGTGATTTGGGCTTAACCATAATTACCAAGGACAAAAAGTCTGATGTTATTGAAATAGGATTTTCGCTTGAGAGACTTGCAGATGACTGCAAGCTTTTCTGTACATAGTAGGGTATAGAAAATTATAATACACAATATTTAGTATCTTTAACATTTGTTCTACATTTGTGCTATTGCAGAAAATGTATAAAAGGCCTGGTCTTGTTGGACAGATTGGGCTAATTGATTTAATTGGACAACTGTTCACACCTGCTGTAAGTGTGCATGATGCCATAATCTTTGCTCTCTGGGAATTTATATCATTATTGCTATAAAATGGATTCAAAACATTCAATTGATCTTTAAATTATGACAAATTATATTATCTTCTTGGATAAAAATCTAAAGTTCATCTTTAGAGGAAATGCCCACTCAAATGAAAACAATAGCTTCTGGAAATAGCATTAATGTATTATTTAAGCAACTGATGTCAGTTCTTACCAGAGTGATAATTCAACAAGAGAAGGAAACTAATAAAGTATGTATTGAAATAAGTTTTCTGCAGTGATCCTGGACATTCTGCAACTTGAGGACACATTTTGTGTGCATGAGATAGATTACTATAAAAAATTCAAAACAGGACATAATCTGCCAATTGTTGCAGAATCTGACAAAATGCATTGTTCTAAAAGTTAAGTGAAACCACAGCTTTATTCTTTTGACTAAAATAAGAAATACTTAGTTTTTATTTTTTAGGGAGCATTGCTATGCTTTGGTAATACTGTCACATAAAAGGATTTAGATGGTGCCATTCATTATTCCTGTTTCTATCATAGTCATTAGCATGGGAGAAAATAATTTTGGTGCCTTGTATATGCTCTTGATTAGAGCAACACATTCCTTCTGTGTTGATCTTTTCAGTATTCTGTGACTTGATTGGTTGTCCATTCTATTTCAGTTCTTACTTATCTGGGGAATGGAGGAGGGATGGATTGTCAATTAATATGCAGAATACTGAAAAGGCCAAATTAGTACCACACTGGAGTATGCCATGGAATATATTAAATATCAAAATCATCCCTCATTTTAATGACAAAGATTTTTATCTAGAACAAAAATAGCTGAAAATTAAACCTTTTATATGACAATGATATTAATGGGAATGGCAAATGGTAGCAACTTAACCCATTCTGAAATTATCTGATGTCTCTAATGAAAATTCATTAGTTCTAAAACATTTGCAGCTCTTACTACAACACTGATGACATCTGTCACCATGTTAGTAGTGTGTTTTTAAAAAAACCTCAGTAGCTTGACTGAAGGAGATGTATACATTAATTTATTTTGGAGTGTCTGCCCATTAATAAAATTGTATATTTCCCCAACTCATAATGTTCTCTGTACTTTGTTCTGAATTTCTCTTTAGCAACATCGATTGCTAAGAAATTTCAGTGTAAATTGAGGCTTCCTCTGTCTTACCTCTGATTAACTCAAGCAGATCATAATGGAGTGATGGCGAAATGAAAATCAGTTTAGTGATAAATTGCTTCTATGGTTTGATTAGAATGGTTTTCATTTTAACAAAATCAGACTTGGGGAAGTCTCCTTTGTTAATCTGGGAGAATGAAGTTTATGAGTGTATGATGGTCATGATCAGACCTCAGTGATGGCTCTTCCCTAGTTGAGATCTTTCTGAAGGGGAGAGGGCCAGGAGACACTTGATAAAGACAAATAGCCCCTTGATATCCCAGTTGTTGTAGTGTCATCCCAAGGCATCTCTTGACTCTAGGATTATTGCTGGAGAAGGAAAAAAAAATATTTGGTATCAGCAAATAGCACAGTTTTACTGACTGGAGCATAGTTTGTATAGTGAAATATGGGAGACAAAATTGGAAGGCTTGACATAGACACATCATTATTTCAAATCATAGGTTGTTTATTTTATCCTTAGTTTTCTAGACAATGGAGGTGTGCTAGGCCATTCTGCATTGCTATGAAGAAATCCCTGAAAGTGTGTAATTTATGAGAAAAGAGGTTTAATTGGCTCATGGTTCTGTGGGCTGTACAGGAAGCAGAGTGGCATTCACTTCTGAGGAGGCTTCAGGAGGCTTACAATCATGGCAGAAGGTGAAGCAGGAGCAAAGGAAGGAGGTGCAGCACACTTTTAAATGACCAAATTTTGTGAGAACTCACTATCTTGAAGACAGCACCAGGTGACGAGAGATCTGCCCCATGACCCAAACACCTTCCACCAGGCCCTGCCTCCATCACTGGGGATTACATTTCGACGTGAGATTTGGGTGGGGATAAATATCCAAACTATATCATTCCACCCTGGCTCCTCTCAAATCTCATGCTCTTTTCACATTGCAAAATACAATTATGCCTTCCCAATAGTCCCCCCAAATGTCAACTCATTGTAGCATTAACTCAAAAGTCCAGGCTGTGTGTGATGGCTCATGCCTGTAATCCCAGCACTTTGGGAGGCTGAGGTGGAGTTTGAGACCAGCCTGGCCAACATAGTGAAACCCAGTCTCTACTAAAAATTAGCCAGGCATAGAGGCATGTACCTGCTGTCCCAGCTACTTGGGAGGTTGAGGCAGAAGAATTGCTTGAACCTGGGAGGTGGAGGTTGCAGTGAGCTGACATTACACCAATGCACTTCAACCTGGGTTACAGACCAAGACTCCATCTCAAAAAAAAAAAGATGTCCAAGTTCAAAGTCTCATCTGAGACAGAGCAAGTCCTTTCCACCTATGAGCCTGTAAATAAAAAACAAGTTATTTACTCCTAAGATACAATGTGAGTAGAGGCATTGGATAAACATTCTTATTCCAAAAGGAAGAAATTGCCAAAAGAAAGGGGCTGCAGGCTCCATGCAAGTTCAAAACTTCAAAACATAGCAGGGAAGTTATTACATCTTAAAGTTCCAAAATGGTTTCCTTTGACTGCATGTCCCACATCCAGGGCACACTGTTGTGAGGGGTGGGCTCCCAAGGCCTTAGGCAGCTCCAACCCTGTGGCTTTTCAGGGTTCAGCCCTTGTGTCTTCTCTCATAAGTTGTTGAGTACCTGCAGCTATTCCAGGCACCGGGTGCAAACTGCTGGTGGATCTACTATTCTGGAGTCTGGAGGATGGCCTCTTTCTAACAGCTCCATTTGGCAGTGCCCCATTGGGGACTCTGTGTGGGGGCTCCAACTCCACATTTCCCCTTGGCACTGCCCTTGTAGAGGTTTTCTGTGAGGGCTCTGCCCCATCAGCAGGCTTCTGCCTGGGTGCCTAGGCTTTTCCATACATCCTCTGAAATGTAGGCAAAGGATGCCAAGCCTCATCACTCTTGCACTCTGTGCACTTGCAAGCTTAATGCCACATGGAGGCTGCCAAGGTCTATAGTGGCTCATGCTCTCCAGAGCACTGGCATGAGCAATATCTGAGGCCCTCTGAGCCAAGGCTAGAGCTGGAGTGGCTGGGATGTGGGTAACAGTGTCCTGAGGCTGCACAGGGCAATGGGGCCCTGGACCTGGCCCATGAAAGGACTCTTCCCTCCTATGCCTCTAGGCTGTGATAGGAGGGACTGCTATGAAGGTCTCTGAAATGCCATGGAGGCCTTTCCCCCATTGTCTTAGATATTAGGACTTGGCTCCTTTTAGTTATGCAAATATCTCTAGCAAGTGGTTGCTCCACAGCCTGCTTGAATTCCTCTCTTGAAAAAGCTTTTTCTTTCTCTGCCCCATGGCTATGGTATGAATTTTCCAAACTTTTATACCCTGCTTCCCTTTTAAATATAAGTTGCAGCTTTAAGTCATTCCTTTGCTCCCACATCTGAGTGTAGGTTATTAAAAGCAGCCAGGCCACATTTTGAATGATTTGCTGCATAGAAATTTCTTCTGCCGTATACCCTAGGTCATTATTTTCAAGTTCAAACTTCCACAGAGCCCTAAGGCATGAAGAGAATGCAGCCAAGCTGTTTGCTAAGGCATAATACAGGTAACCTTTGCTCCAGAGTACAGTAAGTCTGGCATTTCCATCTGAGACCTCAGCAGCCAGGATTTCACTGTCCATATCACTA